AAAGGCAATGTTACAGAGCAGGGAGAAAGAGGCAGAGACGGCAAGCTTCTATCTGCTGGTTCACTCCCCAAATGGCTGAGATGGCTAGAGCCAGGCCAATCTGAAGCCAGGAGCCAGGAGCTTCTTCCAGGTCTCCCACATGGGTGCAGGGGCCCAGGACTTGGGCCATCTTCCACTGCTTTCCTAGGCACATTAGCAGGGAGCTGGATTGGAAGTGGAGCAGCCAGGTCTCAAATGGAGCAGATATGGGACGCTGGTGCTGTAGGCAGAGGCTTAACCCACTATACCACAGCACCAGCACCCTATCCTTTTTCTGACTTTTGTTTTATAAAGGCTTTAAAACTGAGTTTGTAAGGTACTTAGCTCAAGTTATTTTGGGGACAGATGCACATACAAAACATGAAAAGAGGGGCAAGCATTTGGTTTAATAGTTAAGATGCTGCATGAGACACCCGCATCTCATTTCAGAGAGCTTGGATTCAAGTCCTGACTCCCTTCCTACTAATGTGCACCCTGGGAGGCAAGGCAGCAGGTGCTGGCTCAGGTCTCAGGGTCCTTATCACCCAAGACTGAATTCCCAGCTTCCAATTTTGGCCTGGCCCAGCCCCAGCTATTGCAGGCACGTGGGGAGTAACCAGTGAACAGTGTTTGTGTGCCTTTCAAATGAATAAGGTAAATACCATGAACAAAGAAAAGAAGGATCTCTACGTGCAGTTAAGGAAGAAACCATCACTCTGTGCACCTAGCACAGATCTGTCTGCTGTTGAGTGTCAAGCGCTTAGTTCCTGCCTCTTCTCTACAAGAATTCCCATCCTAAGACACAGCTTATTTTAAAAGGCTAGTTTTTAAATAGGGGGTGTGGGGGAAGTTGGCAGTTCTGTCCAGAGTGGCTACAGGTACCTAACGCATCTCGGGTTCTCTCTTTAGGGCTGGATAAAACAGCTTACCTGATTTCCAGGTTTGACCAGGCGCAGGGCAGCCTCAGCACAAAGGTGAGCTGCCTTAATGACATCTGCTTTCCGCCCTGTCACTTGGGTCCCCTGTGGATAAGGAAACCCATTCAGAGAAGCTGGCTAACTCAGCCCACCATGTGGGTAATATTTGTGCACCCAAGCCAATGAACATTAAAGAAAAAGTGTTTCTCTAGAGAATTCTGTAGACTCTCCCCAAACATGGTGGTAGGGGATAGGGCTGAGGCAACTGCAGTGCACACATACTCTCGCCCCCTGCAAACGAACCCCAGCTGGAACAGAGTTCAAAAGTAGGCCACCTACCTGAGCTACACCGACCACGAAAGTGTGAGCCACATTCGCGATAAAGCCATCCACATGGACCCCAAGGTCACTGAAAGGCAAGGGCAGAGTACCACATTAGGAATGGCATAGTGCAAGTACTTGGGAAAGAGAAACGCTCTAAAATGGCTTAGCCTTACATTTTTACCAAGTCACCTTCCTTGAGAATATAGTCCTGGTCACTCTTCAAAGGCGAGAAGTGACACACACAGTTATTTACTGAAATGCTGGTAGGAAAGGCAATACCTGTAAAGACAGAATCGTTAGCCTTACTGCCTTGCTCTCTCTCTTGCTGCCCTTCAGAAAAAGGAAAAACTTTCTCAGGGACTTTAACCACGTTGGATTGGGTAGGGCACTGCTTGTATCCCACTTGCCATTTCAGATCTCCAAATATCCCACCCAGGGCTGGGTGGGGTTTGCATCATTATAATGGGAAAAAAAAAAAAAAGAACCAGATAAGGGCCAAGCTTGGAAAACTAGTGAGAGGTGTTTTGTTGTTGTTGTTGTTTTTTTTTTTTTTTTTTTACCTTTTTTCATCTCCTTTTCTTTTTTGAAGATCTTCCCTGTCTCTTCCATGATCATGGCATCACCCTTCTCACACAGGCTCAGCACGGACACACCTGAGCTGGATGCTTCCACCAAAGACCGAAGTACCCCTGGGGACAGAATCCCACCACATCAGCCTGGCACGTATTTACTGTCTGCTGACCACCCTGGTATGTAAGCTGGACTCGGAACTTCTAATTCCCAGCGCTAGCCCCCTGAGGCTGAGAGAGGAAACCTGAGTCTTGCTTCTTGGAATGTATCTACCTATAACCTCTAATTTCTACCCTCCTTTCCTAAAATAAAAAAGGCCAACCCCTCCTTGTCTCCCTTACATTATGTGACAACTGGCTACACACAACATCTTCTTAGACAAACTTGACTGTCCAAAGGCACCTTGGGCCTGGCAGAACACAGTTATGAGCTGCAGAGGGTTCATGCCGAGGTGCCCCACATACATGCAAAGTAGACTACAAGACATTTATGGGCGTCAGGGACACAGAATTGCTGACTCGAAGCTGATGCATTGGGAAATTGTTACCTTCCTGTCTTCTCACACATCACTAATTAGGTGTTGGTAATCGCAATTTATTTAAATTTATTCCCTCATAAACATATGTAGGAACTAAGGGGGCTATTCAGAAGTCTCTGGGCTTCAGGGGGCTCGTGGCTTTCAGCCTGCCGTAGATCTAAAGGGATTAGTGACCCTGAGATTTCAAAACTGATATCTGAGATCACAAATGACTCAAATTATAAACTGCAAGAAAGAAGAAGAAACATTTCTTTTAGTTCAAATCACTAGTATCGAAAACTAAAGTACACCCAGGTCAAGGCACTACACTACACGTCCACTGAGCCACTTTTGAGAAAGCATTGTTCTGTTCACACCCTCTCCGTGATCCATCCAGAATTTCAGGTTTGATTTTTGAGGTCTCAGTTTTGGATTAACTGGAAGTTAGAACAACCCAGGTCTTCGGCTTCAGAGCCAAAGGCACCCTAAAAACCTCTTCCTATCTTTACTATTAAGACCATATAGAAGCTCAGACGAGTAGCTTCCAACTCTCTCAGTGGGTTTTAAAATGGAAAGGTGAACTGGAAAGAGAGAAAATAGAAAGTGAGACATCTGCCTAGAGTGGCAAACAACTGCTGAGAAGTCGGAGCAGGGCTCGAATGATGACCGGTGACAATCCTGAAGCCGGTCCCGCGGCCACACCGCTCACCAGCCCGCCTAGCTGGGGCCAAGGGCAACCTCAAAACCCTCCTCCGAACTCCAGCAAGTCCCCGGAAACCAATCCGAGGGCTGAGGCTTTCTGCACAGATTGGAAAGGTGGTAGTAACCAACAACTTCGAGAACACACAGACGAAGTCCCCAAGAGTTGCGTTAGAAGGTCCAGGGGTGCCCTCCAACGGCCCCCTGAGCCGGCCCAGGGTGAAAGGGGGCCCTCGCCAGGGCGAGCGACGAAGTAAAGGAGGAAGACTCCAGCAAAGCACGTGGTGGGGAGGCTGGTGTCAGGGACCGCGGCGGCGGCAGGAGGGACCCGGCAACACGTGCCAGCCCTGCTCCTGACGCTCAGGAGCCGCAACAAAACAGAAGGGCGCCTCTGTCGCCAACAGCTGGGCGCTTCCTCTTCGAGGCGACCGCCGAGACCCGGACGGAGGAGTGCGGGCACCGAAGAAAACGCGCCTTGCCTCCTTTACCAACGGCCTAGGCTCGAAGTCTGCCCGGGTCCCTCTCTCTGCCCTCTCCCCGGTCGCCGGCCCGCACCCACAGACTCCAGTCCAGGCCTGGCCACTCCGGTCCCGGGCGCGACACTGGGTCTTCCCACCACGCCGACTCCAGCGGACCGATACGGACCCCACCGGAGCTCACTCCGCAGCACCCTACCGCGCCAGCCCCTCAGCGGTCTGCCCAGCACCTCTCCCTCCCAGACTCGATTCCGGACCCCCCGAGGCCGCACTCACGGTTGGCGATGTCGCCCCCCATCTTATACTTGGTCACGACCAGGTCCTCGGCGATAGTTTGCTCCTGCTGCTCGTCCTCGCCCGACATCTTCCCACCACCACCACTGCAGCCTCGTTTCCCCTGAGCCGCCGCCTCTGTCGCCCTCCCCAGCCGCAGGCTGTGGTCAGAGCCCCCACGATCCGCGAGGAGAGCGCGAGCGAAAGCGCGAGCAAGCAAGGCAGCGGGCGGGCGGGCGAGCGAGAGCGAGAAGCTGCGAGCGCGCGGGCTGAGGCGCAGGGTACGCCGGGACGACGAGTCCTTTCCGCCGCCACCCTCTAGCCGTCCTCGTGGTCGCTTGAACTACAATTCCCAGCCTGCCTCTCGCGCCCCTAAGCCAGGCCCTGGAGCCTTGCCCTCCAAGGGCCTCGCACGCCGGAATCGCCGGGCACGCTGGGAAGGGTCAGGCTCCGGCGGGAAGGCGGAGCTGTTGGCTAGCTGGAGGGGAAGCGTGGTCTCTCCGGGAAAAAGTCCATCCACCAGGAGTGCTGAGCCCGAGCTCGTAATAGAGAAGGGGGGCGGGCTGAGGGATTAGGGGCGGGGCTTCGAAGGGGAAAAGGGTTTGGCTGCGGCGGGGCGGCGTGGAGCAGGGTGGAGCCGAGGTCGGTGTGCTGTGTGTGCACCTAGGGCGGGGGTGCTGGGTACGCCGGCTGGGGATCCCTGGGTCGGCTGGCGGGACCGGCCCGGCCGGTCCAATCGGCTCCCAGTGCTGAGGGAAGGAGCAGAGCGGACGTGGAAGACCGAGGAAGCGTGTTGGGAACTGGGTCTAACTAGGCAGCGGGAGATCATCCACTCACGCCCTCCCGACCTAGAGGCACTGTTCTTCCAGCCGTGGCCTTGAATGGGGCCCCCACCTAAGGAAGTGCTCGCAGAGAGTTGGTGGCTCTCTTAAGAGAATGAGTTTTGAAGCAATTTAAAGCTTTCAATTTTCGCATCCATAGGGCATTTTCTAACTTCTCCAAGCATTTGTGGGATTTTTTTTTTTTTTAATCCTACTTGCCCTGTAATTTCTAGTACAACCCCTGAATGAAAAGGACTCTGCCCTATGCCTGGAGAAAGCTGAATGGGACGAACAGGGCTGTCGGGAGACAGAAAGGTGGCTGTCCACTGTTGCACTCAAAGAGGTGGCCTCTTAATCAGTTTCCTTCATTTGACAAACAGAAAGCTGAAAAAAACTTTGGCATTTTTATTCAGACATGTATAAAAACAACAAAACACTTCAATGATATAACAGACATTTGCCCCAGTTCCCCTCCCAAGGGGATGGAGGTCTAAAGCAGGGTCCTGTCTCTCCCACCTGGAAGCGTCTCACCACTGGAGGAGAACAGCTCCTACAGGTGGGCCTGGGGACCTTTGTGAGTCTGCCCTTAGGAGTGATCACGAGAGTTACGGTTTATGCAAAAACATCCAGTTATTTTTCCTTCCTACCCCCTCACCCCCACCACTTCCTGAGATGAGAAGTCTGGGTGTAGAGGAGGGTTAAACTTGATTCAGTGCAAAGAAAAAAAAAAAACACACACACACAAGTAAAATGCACCTTACAAGGGCTCTCTGACTTATCTGTTTTCCATGACAGCTTACAGTAAGAACACGTGCATTCTGTTGGGAAGATTTTGAAACCTGGACCTGTTGCTTAATTTACCCAGTCTTTAAGGCTCAGTCCCCCTGATCTGCTGTCTTTCCACAGCTTGTTACCTGTGGTTAACTGCAGTCCAAAACAATTACATGGAAAATCAACAATTGATAAGTCTGAGTAGCATGATGAAATCTTAGCACCATCCTGCTCTTCCTCTGTCCAGTGTAGTCGTCCCTCACTGCCCTTAGTCCCTCGGTAGCACTCTCGCTTATCAGATCTCCTGTTGTGGTATCCAAAAGTGGCTGTGTTCTAGGAACCCTTACTTGTTTAATGGTGATGCAGGCAATTCACATCGACCAAAGAGAAGTGCTTCCGTTAAGTGAAAAGGTGAACGTCTTCGTAAGTAAAGGAGCCAAAAGTGTACGCAGAAGTCGCCGGATCTCCAGTGCAGACGATTCCTTTATCCATGGAATTCTGTGCTACTTTTCTTGTTGCACCACGGAATGCACAAGTTATGGCCGTAGTGCATGGAGTTCAGGAGGAAGGGCATTAAGTACAGCATTTGGTGCTATCTGTGGTTTCACTGGGTGTCTTGGAACATTATCCCCTGAGGATGGGGGAGGGGGGACTACTTAGGTGTAAAACAGGGTCATCTCTCTGTCACACAATTGTAAGGAGTATAAAGGATTAAGGGAGATAATGTAGGTAAAGTTTCGCTTGCTGCCTGGCCCGCAGTGAAGAGCCGAGAGTAATAGTCTGTTCCTAACTGCTCTTTACAGAACTTTAAGCTCTGCAACCTTTGCAGGGGGTTAAAAGTACCCAGTTTTTGCTTTCTTCTGCCAGATCTGCCCCTGTGTTCTTAGGACACTCTGAAACAGGCACATATCCGGGCCTCATACTAACAGGTGGGGCCTGAGCTACAGGGATGTGGGGAGTAATCCTTCATGTCTCCAGGGAGTCCTGGGAAAGCACACAAAGTAGGAAAACCTTCTCCTTCCTGGGGCTGGGAAGGAGAACAAAGTGCACAGTTGGCTACAAACCATAAGAAGTTTGTGTCAAAGGGATTCAAAGCCTCCAAAGGTTGAATGGAATTGTCTAGGACTAGAGAAATGGGGCTGACACCTGTGGAGGGGGGAGTAGGGAGATGAGGGGTACCCTCTAGAGGCACTAGCTGCCATCAGACGCTCCCCGAGTGTCTCAAGGAGTCGAGGCTATGTTCTCTGGGCGTTAGCCTTGGGGAAAAGCCTGCTATGCCAGTAATCAGGGTTGTCAAAGGCGGAGTCGGTGGCTTCTAAACTGCGGAGGGTTTTGAGGCGGGCGTAGCGGACACTAGGGGCATGCGGACCAGGCCCCTGGAAAGCTCGCATCTCTTCATACCCTTGCTCAGCTGCTGGGCAGGCCCCCATGGCTGTGTAATCCCCTCCCGGGCCACCTGCACCGCGTCGCCGATTCATATACTCATAGTCCTCATCTGGTGTCGTGCCAGCAGTGGATATGACGGGCACAGGGTTGAGAGGACAACTCTGCGTGCTGCCCAGGGAGGCACTGAGGTCTGACCCCACGTCCATGTACTCATAGCCCAGCTCCTCAAGGGAGCCGGGCCGAGGGGGATGAGATGGGCTGGGCCTTCTCCGACGGTTCATGTATTCATACTCCTCATCTTCATCTTCCTCTTCAGTACCCAGGACAGAGCTGAGACCCACTGAGGAAAGAGTACCTTCTCGGGAAGAAGGAGTACCTAGGAGAAGAGCAGAGAGGATAAGTAGGTGGAGAACTTCATGGTAATGGGCAGTAGGTAGGGGAAGGGAAGGGAAAGTTAGAAAAAATTAATAGGAAGGGATAGGATCAGAGAAGACGAGAATTCAGAGAAAGCTGCAGGAGGAGTCAGGCACCTTTGAGGTGTGTATCTGGCATGACATAACCGTTGACATCCTCTTCTTCCAATCCTGGCGGGGCAAGAGGGGTGACGGGCGTAAGCAGGCTATGGCGCTGGGAATGGTAGGCACTATCTCCCCTTGGCCGTGGGCTGCGGCTGCGGCTGCGGCTCCTGCACACCGACACCTTCTCCGGGAGCTCAGCCTCAGAGCCTGTCACGTGACCTTCTGACGATTCGGAGGTCAGGCGGCCCCGTGGCACTGGGTGCAGAGAGACCGGACGAGGGCATCGTTCACTGCCCCCACAAACTGCAGACTCCTACGAAGGAAGGTAAAGAGAGGATAACAGATTTAGAGACAGGAAAGGCTTTATTTAGAAGATTGGGTTGGGGGCCGGTGCTGTGACACAGCAGGTTAAAGCCCTGGCCTGCAGTGCCAGCATCCCTTATGGTGCCAGTTCAAGTCCTGGCTGCTCCACTTCCGATCCAGCTCCCTACTGATGAACCTGGGAAAGCAGTGCAAGATGGCCCAAATGCTTGGACCCCTGCACCCACATGGGAGACCCGGATGAAGCTCCTGGCTCCTGGCTTTGCATCAGCTCAGCTCAGCTCCAGCCATTGCAGCCATTTGGGGAGTGAACCAGTCAGTGTATGGAAGACCCCTCTCTCTATTGCTCTCTCACTCTACCTTTCTCTGTAACTCTTTCAAATAAAAATAAGGCTTAAAAAAAGAAGAAGATTGGGTTGTTTGTTGCCTGCCTTTTCAGTTTCTCATGCTTCCTGCACTACCCCTCAGCCACCTCGTGTCAGCAGCAGAGCTCACCTGGCAGGCCTCTCCAAGAACACTCTGGTTCATGGGCATGTATCCAGATGATGGACTTAACAGGCTCTGGCTCTGGGAGGAAAGAAGTAAGAAAAAGGTTCAGATGAAGGAAGAAATCCTACTCTTACCATGGGGGCCGTGAGTAGTTGGTCTGGGGGTTTGTGCGGGCCTGGTGTGGAGTCTTGGGTAGTTACAGTGTCTTACCCCCCGTGGTCGAGTAAGAGTTCCAACTGGTAGGCTGAGAGCAGAGCCCAGTGTGGTTGCCAGGGTGTCCTCTTCTGCCTCCAAGTCTAGGTCTAGGTCAAGTTCTGGCTCCAGCTCTACTTCCTCCAGTTCCTTGTTTGTCAGAGCAGAGGGCTCTGCCCCAGGAGGTACTCCAGGCCCACTCTCCCTCTGTAGGAGCAGGTAACTGTTAAGGTGGATCCGGGTTCCAGCCAATTCTTTTCTCCACATCCTTGCAATCTAGTCCCTACTCACCTTTATGACTAGATACCGTGGTGGATCTCGGGCCATCCTGGTGAACTCATTGGCTAGTTCTTTAAAGGTTGGGCGAATGTTCTCATCAATCATCCAACCTAGGATAAGACACAGGAGGTAAAAAACCGTCAGTGTGCATGGAGCCGTAAGAGGAGATGGGAGGGAGAACAGTTAACAAATAGCTGGGATTTTCAGCCTTTTGGCTAAGATCAACTGTGAAAAAATGGCTTGGGGTGGGGGTGGGGGTGGGCAGTGCTATGGCATAGTGGGTAAAGCCACCTCCTGCAATTCTGGTGTCCCATATGAGCACCAGTTCCTATTCAGCTCTCGGCTATGGCCTGGGAAAGCAGTGGAAGATGGCCCAAGTCCTTGGGCCCTTGTACCCGCGTGGGAGACCCAGAAGAAATTCCTGGCTCCTAGCTTCAGATCAACGCAGCTCCGGCCTTTGGGGCCAATTGGGGGAGTGAACCAGCAGATAGAAGATCGATCTCTCTCTTAAAAAAAAAAAAAAAGGCTGGGGGAGGGGGGGATGTCGGGCCAGCAATTTAGCCTCTTCCTTGGGTCATCCACATCCTATATCTGAGTGCTGGTTTAAGTCCCAACTACTAGGCTTCCTATCCAGCTCCCTGCTAAAGCACCAGGAAGCAGTGGATGAAGGCTCAAGTACTTGAGTCCCTGCCACCCATGTGGGATACCTGGATGGAGTTCCTGGATACTGTGACAGCCTGGCGCAGCCCTGGCTGTTGCAGTCATTTGAGGAATAAACCAACAGATAGATCTGTCACTCTACCTTTCAGAAAAATAAATAGGGGCCGGTGCTGTGGCGCAGCAGGTTAACACCCTGGCCTGAAGCGCCAGCATCCCATATGGGTGCCAGTTCTAGTCCTGGCTGTTCCTCTTCCAATCCAGCTCTCTGCTATGGCCTGGGAAAGCAGTAGAAGATGGACCAAGTCCTTGGGCCCCTGCACCCACTTGGGAGACTTGGAAGAAGCTCCTGGCTCCTGGCTTCAGATTGGCATAGCTCCAGCCATTGCGGCCATTTGGGGAGTGAACCAGTGGATGGAAGACCTCTCTACCTCTCTCTGTAACTCTTTCAAATAAATCTTTAAAAATAAATAAATAAATAAGTATTTGAAAAAAATTGACTGGAGCCAGCAGGCGACTCACACTTGACCATGACCATGTAGACATCAATGGTGCAGATCTGGGGCTGTGCCAACCGTTCCCCCTTCTCCAACAGGTCTGGTACTTCTGCTAATCGCAGCCCTGCATAGGGCTCTGCACCGAAGGTCATCAGCTCCCAAACTGTCACACCTGGTAAGAAAACAGTACCCATAGGCAATGAAGTAAAAAGGGAGGCAGAAGTTGGTCAGACACAAGATGTGAAGGGCTTAGAGAGTCTAAGAGAGGGTATCTCCAAAGGCAGTTGTGGGGGCTGGCACTGTGGTGTAGCAGGCATCCCATATGGGCACCGGTTCGAGTCCCGGCTGCTCCGCTTCCAATTCAGCTCTGTTATGGCCTGGGAAAGCAGAAGATGGCCCAAGTCCTTGGGCCCCTGCCACCCACATTGGAGACCCAGAAGAAGCTCTTGGCTCCTGACTTTGGATTGGCGCAGCTCTGGCCATTGTGGCCATCTGGGGAGTGAACCAGTGGATGGAAGGCCTCTCCTCTCTGCCTCTCTACAACTCTGCTTTTCAAATTAATTAATTAACTAAAAAAAAAAAAAAAAGGTAGTCGTGGAATTTGGGACAGTGATGGCATGAAGGCACCCAGATGCACTGACCGTAGCTCCAGACGTCACTCTGGTGTGTGTATTTCCCAAAGTGGATACTCTCAAGAGCCATCCACTTAATTGGAGTCTGGGGAGTAAAGACAAAGGTGTCACTAGTCCATTTCCACAAATTTTCTTAGCATTTCCAAACCCCAAGCATGCTATCGTTTTTCCTTCTTGCCGTCTGCACTTAAATTTCTGCCAACCCCACCTTGCCCTCCATGAATTTAACGGTGAAGCATCTGCTTGCTCTGAGAGACTTCCCCCGTGCTTTGTTTACACTACCCCACCTCTCACGAGGCCCTCTGTGTCCCCTCACCTTGGCTTCACTGTGGAGGAGCTGCTTATCATCTGGGGGCAGCAGGTCAGCCACACCAAAATCTGCCACCTGAACCTGACTGGCTGACTTCAGCAGCACGTTGCGGGCAGCCAGGTTCCTGTGCACCATACCGTGCTCCTCAAGATAGTACATGCCCTGTAGGGGAAGGAAATAGCCCCAGGCTCGGAGGAAATCCACTGCGGACCTCCTGAATGCCCCCAGACCCTTGAGGGTCCTCTAAGCACTGCAAAGCTGTCATCTTCTCACCCCTGCCCTGCCTGCTGCAGCAAGGTGGCTCCCGCAGGACTCCCGCCATGCTCCTCTCACCTTAGCGATTTGTACGCCCCAGTTGAGCAGCAGCTGTGGCCCCAGCGACTCCCGCTGCTGCCTCACATGATCCAGCAGGGAACCCAGAGGCAGGTATTGAGTGACGAGCTGCAGCGATGACCCTGGGCACAGTCCCAGCAGCCGTACGATGTGGGCGTGGTCCAGGCTGCCGATGGCCAGCATGTGCTAAGAGACACGGGAGATGTTATCCAGGAATCACGGGCACACCCCAACCAGGGCGTCCCCGGACATTCAGGTGCATCAGCATGTCTAACACAGTATCTGCTAACACAGGCTGTGCTTGTGTCTGATCTTGTCCCCTCTCTCACCGGTGCACAGCATTCCTTTACTTACATCCGTCACGGCCTGAAAACTTTGCCGTCCACTCTTGTCTTCGATGACTTTAATGCACACTGGAATCTTGATGGATTCACCCTCGGGGATCCACACACCCTGGGAAGTTTGGGGCAGGAGTCAGCCTAGGGTCATTCTCCCCAGGGTCAGCCCTTTGCCCCCAGATCCATTCCCTACCTCCCCAGACTTCCTGGGGGTCACTCACTTTGTGCACAGTTCCAAAGACGCCGGAACCAAGCACTTTAAGCTTCCTCAGCTCTGTCTCTTTGAAGATTCTGGCCAAGACTTTGTTAGCCTTCTCGCTGGGATCCAGAGGCTCTAAGCTCTGAGGAGCAGATGGGAAAGAGAAACTCAGGAAAGCCCACTCACATGTCCCATACCAACCTGCTCCCCGCAATAGCTACCAGGAGCAGCAGAGCCCAGGGTGTGGGGGCAGGAATGGGAATTATGTTTAGCCCTGGAAAGCACTATGGGCATATCTAGGAATAACAGATCCCAAGGACTGAAGAAGCTGTGCTTGCGAGCTCAGGAGTCAGGAGGGGTAGGTTTTCCCTTTGCTGGGGAGCTGGGAAGTCGGCACCTTGAGTACCTTTTATCCAGTGCTCTGTGCGTTTCAAAGAACTTTCATGTGCATTATCCCCTTTCTCCCTAACAGTCTCCCTGGAAGGATGAGTGCTATTTGCGCTGTACAGATGTGCAAACTTAAGCACAGAGAAGGCACATCAAAGTCGCACAGCAAATTAGCGGGGACATCAGGACTAGAATGCATGCCCCCATTTCTCAGGCTGACATTTTTTTTAGTGGACCCCACAATCTCCTTGTAGGAAGAGATCACATCTCTGGGGAAAGAGGAGAGCTGGCTACGGATGGTCTAAGGTGCCTCTCAAAATTAAGCTAGGTACTCACCTCACCACGTTCCAGGTAGCGCCTCATAGCCCTTTTATTCTGAATCCGGCGCCCACGCCAGTAGAGAAATGTGCCCCCCAGAATCAGGAAGATCACTGCCAATCCTACTGTCACAGCCATTGCCAGATGGGTTTTGCTGTGGGATACAGAGAAGCCCAGCATTACCCCTCCCCTACCAATGTCCCTTGTACCTGACCTGAAGGTGTGGCGCAGATGTGGACCCAGAGGTTAATATTCACGTATACATGCGTCCCAGAGCTCTGAAGGGGTTAACCTAAATCTGACATCTCCCCACTGCAGATGAATGTTAGGGGGAAGGCCAGAAGCCCAGATTCTAAGGGGCTGAGTCTGGTGACAGTGGACTGCATATATAAAGGCCAGAGTGAATAACTCTATTCTCCCGCTGGTGCCGCCCTCTCCTGACTTTCTCTCTCACACATCTCCAGTTTTCAGACTGTCCAAGCCCACCATACCTGATCAGCACCAGTGTTTGGCCTAAACAGTCTTGTAGTTCTGGTCCCTTACACCTAGACAGAGAAAGAAAATCAGACCTTTAAATGGGAGCTTGGACAACAAAGGTTCAAGTGCAACAGCCTCACCTATTTCTGAACTCAATGTAGCATTCCATCCTGAGGCTCAAAACCTATCCCAACACATGGGCTTTGTCTCTAGTTCAGCCCTTGGGGTCCCTTTAAGTGTAACTTCTCTGAGCTGAGTTTCCTCCAGGTTCTTCAAACTGTGGTTTCCCTAAAATGCCAGCATTGTGGTGCAGGGGGGTTAAGCCACTGCTGGCATTCCAATATTGGTGCACTGCTTCCAGTCCCGGCTGCTCCACTTCTGATCCAGCTCCCTCCTAACGTGCCTGGGGGAGCAGCAGAAGATGGCCCAAGTAGTTGGACCCCTGCCACCCATGTGGGAGACCCAGACAGAATCCCTGCCTGTGGCCTGGCCCAGCCCCAACTGTCCTGGCCATTTGGGGAATGAATCAGTGAATGATGGAAGACCCCTCTCCCTTTCTCTCTTGCTCTCTGCCTTCCAAATAAATAAATTTTTACTAAAAAAACCCTGTGGCTTCACTCTTTACTGTTAATGAGTTTCCTTGCCTTGCACCCTTCACTACAGAGCTGGGAGTGATTGCCAAATCATAGTCTCTTTCTCCCTCTGCTCCCCTCATGCTAGTTCTATGCTCCCGCCTCCCCCAACCCCCTCATCTCATCATCCCACCGCTGACCCCTGGGTGCAGTTCTCGTGGCACGGCCGACATTCATTGTGAACATCCGGGTACTTGTAGATCGGGCCCTTGGCACCTAGAACTCCATTGGGGCAGCTGCTCACACAGTGGGGCCCATCTCGAAAATGGGCACACTGGGCACAAGCATCGGAGCCCTGGGTGGAAAAGAGAAGGTCAAGGACGCTGGGAACCCGAGGTTAATTCCCTACCTCCCTGCAAGGATCAACCCAGTTTTCAGGATCTTCTAACCCCAAACCCCAGCAGTATCTGGATCCCCTGTGCTGGCCTCGAGATCCGGTCATAACATTCCTTAGACACTCCGAGCACTATCCCATCCCCTCTCCCTTGGCCATCACACCGCTGCTACTGTACCGAGCCATTGCACGTGGCAGTGCCTTCCATGGGCTGGCATTCCGGGTGGCAGGAGAAACATTCGTCCTCATGAGCAAACTCTCGAGGCTCCCTGTAATTGGGGGGAAAGGGAGGCGCGTCACTGCCAAGTCCTGGCCTTGGTGCCCTGATCCCAGCCCGAGGACCTGAGGATCTGCGATCTCATTCTCACCAAGGCACACACAGACAGCTGTCCAACGGCTTTGGGGTGCCACCTGAGCTGCTCCACACCAGGGCCCCTTCCCCACCCTGTCTCGGCCGTCTCCCCTCATCGTACCCGTTCAGAAAGTTGCAGTGGGTCACACAGACACCTCCGCGGCTGTAGTTCCGACAGGAGAGGCACTGACCCGGGCCTGGGCCCCAGCATCCCCCGGGGGAGCACAGCGGGTCACACACTTTGCCCTCCGCCACTGCAGAAGAAGGGCTGGATTAGGAGAGGGGTCTGAGGACTCCCCACAGGTCATCCCAGACCTGCCCGCATTCCTGCTTCCAGCCTCATCTCCTGGTTCCCGCCCCCACGCCCAGGGCAGAGCAGCGCTTCTGGCCGGCCCTCCCTCACCACACTCCCTGCGCGGCCGATTATGCTTGATGTCCAGTCTCTCTTCCGCAGGCCCCCGGAGCAGCCGGGTCCAGTTCAGAGAATGGTGGTAGCACAGCTGCCGGTTGGCACTTATATAGATACGCCCAGCACTAATCTCTTTCAGGGATCGGAGGCCCAGAGACGTCACGTTCAAGTTCTTCATGATCAACAAAGAGAAGCCCCGGCTGAGAAAGAGGAGATGGGATGAGGGTGCAGTGGGTTCATGTTCACTCAGCAGTGCGCTCTGGGCCGGTCAGACCCACTGCGAGGCCACCCGCCTCCTTCTGCCTCTCCCCCATCAAACTCCCAGGCTGTCTGGACCCTCTGTGTGAGCGCGTGCGCTGGATTTCATTCAAGGGCGCCCACGAAGGAGTGCGTCCCCGGAGATGCTACCGCCCCCACATCCCTTACTTACTTGTAGAGGCTTCTGCCCCCGATGGTCGTGAGGTTGGAAAAAACGCTGAAGTTGTGCATGTGGGGAGGCCAGGATTGTATATTCAGGTAGCCTGAGGGGTTGGAGAGAGGAGTGTGGGCGGGGAGCCCTCACGGCCCTCTCCCAGGGCCTCTGGCTCTCCCCTGTGGCTTGGGACCCAACTTTCTCGCCTGTGGGTCAACTGCTCCTCTCAGAAAGGGCGGTGCCCCTCCCACTCACCTGTGATCTCCCGGACTGTGCGGAAGACGTTGAGCTTCTCAGGGTCCAGGGCAGGGATCTTGTGCCAGGGGTCTCTGGGGAGAACAGGGGAGAATCAATCAACCAGGCAGAGACATAGCCCAGCAGCAAGGGGCACACCTGGTCTCAGAAATTGGTCTCGAAATCCATTCTCCACGAAGAGGGAAGCGGGTCCTGGGAGAAATGGCTGGAACCAGGAAATAACTGGAGCCTAGAGTAGCTTATGCCCCAAGAAGGAGGAGTGCAGGCCCACAGAAGGAAAGCTTGAAGGGGCTCCCAGAGCCAAACCGGAGACAAATGGACAGCAGAAAGAGTAACAACTGTTGGGGCCGGCACTGTGGCACAGGGGGTTAACACCCTGTTCTGAAGCACTGGCATCCCATATGGCACCGGTTCAAGTCCTGGTTGATCCACTGCCAATCCAGCTCTCTGCTTTGGCAGCTTTGGCCTGTGAAAGTAGTAGAAGATGGCCCAAGTTCTTGGGCCCCTACACCCATGTGGGAGACCTGGAGGAGGCTCCTGGTTTCGGATTGGTGCAGCTCTGGCCGTTGCTGCAAATGGGGGAGTGAACCAGCAGATGGAAGACCGCTCTCTGCCTCTCCTTCTTTCTCTGTGTAACTCTGACTTTCAAATAAATAAATAAATCTTAAAAAAAAAGGGGGGGGGGGCAGCGCTGTGGTACACTAGGTTAATCCTCCACCTGCAGCGCCGGCATCTCATACGGGCGCCGGGTTCTAGTCCCGTTGCTCCTCTTCCAGTCCAGCTCTCTGCTGTGGCCCGGGAAGGCAGTGGAGGATGGCCCAAGTGCTTGGGCCCTGCACCTGCATGGGAGACTAGGAAGAGGCACCTGGCTCCTGGCTCTGGATCGGCGCAGTGCCGGCCATGGCGGCCATTTGGGAGGTGAACCAACGGAAGGAAGACGTTTCTCTCTGTGTCTCTCTCACTGTCTAACTCTGTCTGTCAAATAAAAAAAAAAAATCACTGAACAGGGGCTGGTGGGGTGCAGCAGGTCAAGCTGCTGCCTGTGATGCTGGCATTCTAAATCAGTTTGTGCCCCTGCTGCTCTGCTTCTGATACAGCTCCCTGCTAATGCGCCTGAAAAAGCAGAAGATGGCTCAAAGACGGCTCAAATATTTGGGCCCCTGTACCTACGTGGGAGACATGTGTGAAGCTCCTGGCTCCTGGCTTTGGCCTGGCTTAGCCCCAGCCATTACAACCATTTGGGGAGTGAACCAGCAGATAAAGATCTTTCTCTCTGTCTCTCCCTCTCTCTGTAATGCTGCCTTTCAAATACATAAATAACCCCTAATTAGATAGATAAATGTAGAATAAAATGGAATGTGATCTTCTTTCGGCAACTATCATAATAACTGATTTAGGCAAATATCTTCCAAGATTACTTGCAAAGGGCAAAACAGTAACCTTTTGGTAGAAAAACCTGGCAGATATCACCTTGTCCAAGCGGCCAGAGGAATCATCAACATGACGGGACAAATCAGTATCATGTGCATCCTTGACAAGATACACGGGGCATACAAAATCTGTGATATCCCGGCACCAACACAGAACCTGGATCCAGTGGTGAGGACGCACCAGAACAATCCAAAGGGAACAACACCATACCAGTTACTCGACCTGTGCCCCTCAGGAATGTCAATGTCGAGGTCATGAAAACTGAGGAACTGCTATAATTAAAGGAGACAGAAGACACGAGCTAACCGAACGTCACGATCCATGGCAATAGGCCGGTTAGTGAAATCTGAATGAGAGCTGTAGATTAGCTAATCTTTTGGTCAGTGTAGATTTTCTGATTCAGATTAGTGAACTGTGGTAATGTAAAAAAATGTTTTTGTTGTTGTTGTTGTTTTGTTTTTGTTTTTGTTTTTTTTTTTTTTGTTTTTGACAGGCAGAATGGACAGTGAGAGAGACAGAGAGAAAGGTCTTCCTTTGCCGTTGGTTCACCCTCCAATGGCCGCCGCAGCCGGCGCACCGCACTGATCCGATGGCAGGAGCCAGGTGCTTCTCCCAGTCTCCCATGGGGCGCAGCGCCCAAGCACTTGGACCATCCTCCACTGCACTCCCTGGCCACAGCAGAGAGCTGTCCTAGAAGAGGAGCAACCGGGACAGAATCCGGCGCCCCGACCGGGACTAGAACCCAGTGTGCCGGCGCCGCAAGGCAGAGGATTAGCCTAGTGAGCCGCGGCGCCGGCCCAAAAAATGTTTTTAAAGATTTAGTTATTTTCATTTGCTTGAATACTGAGTAACAGAGAGAGAAAGAGAGAAAGGTCTTGTACCCGCTGGTTCACTTCCCAAATACCCACCACAGCTGAGGCTGGGGCTGGGCCAGGCTGAACCAGGAGCCAGGAACTCCAGCTGGGTCCCCTGCATGAGGGGCAGGGACCCAGATATTTGGGCCATTATTTGCTGCCTTCCAGGATGCATTCGCAGGAAGCTGTATCGCAAGCAGAGGAGCTGGGACTCCAACAAGTACTCTGATACAGGATGCAGGCATCCCAAGCAGCAGCTTGACCCACTGCACCACAATGCCTGCCCCATTCTTGTTTTACACACTGAAATACAAAAGCGGTTAAGGGGGAGCCGGTGCTGGAGCATCCTTGTGGGTGCCAGTTTGAGTTCCCACTGCTCCCCTTCAGATCCAGCTCCCCACCAATGCACCTGGGAGAGCAGTGGAAGATGGCCCAAGTACTTGGGCCCCTGTACCTGTATGGGACACCCGGATGAAACTCCTGGCTCCTGACTTCGACCTGAGCCAGTCCTGGCCATTGAGGCCATTTGGAGAGTGAATCAGCAGATGGAAGACCTCTCTCTCTCTCTCTCTAATTCTGACTTTCAAATAAAATAAACCTTTAAAAAAAAAAGTGGTAAAGAGTACCACATCTGGAAATATGCCCTCAAGTGGTTCAGAAAAATAACAGTGTGAAGAGTGTGTGTGTGGAGAGACAGAAATGATAGAGCATACGTAGAATGCTCTTCTTTGGGGAATGTGAGCAAAGATAGTAGGGAAAAATCTTCATACCATTTTATTTATTTGAAAGACAGAGCTACAGAGATAGAAGGAGAGACACACAGAGAGATATCTTCCATCCACTGTTTCACTCCCCCAATGGCCACAGTGGGCAGGGCTGGGCCAGGCCAAAGCCAGGCGTTTCATCTGGGTCTCCCACACGGATGGCAGGGCCCAACTACTTGGGCCTTGTACAACTGTTCCCAGGCAATATTAGCAGGGAGTTGGATCGGATGTGGGCAGATGGGAGCTGAACTGATGTTCATATGAGATGCTGGCATCACAGACAGCAGCTTAACCTGCTACACCACAATGCCAGCTCCTTTATACCATTGTTGGAACTGCAATGTAGATATAAAATTATGCCAAGGGCACAGCATGTTAAGCCACCACCTGAGTTGCAAGCATTCCATTTTGGAGCGCCGATTTGAGTCCCTGTTGCGCTGTTTCCAATTCAGCTTCCTGCAAATGTGCCTAGGGAAGGCAGTAGAAGGTGGCCCAAGTGGCTGGGCTCCTGTCACCCATATAAGAGACCTGGATGGAATTCCTGGCTCCTGGCTTTGGCTTGGCTCAGCCCCAAGTGTTATGGTGAACTAGCAGATGAAAGATCTCTCTCTCCCTCTGTCTCTGTAACTGCCTTTCAAATAAATAAGTAAATATTTTTAAAAATTAAACTATAGGGGGCTGGCACTGTTGTGTAGTGGGTAAAGCCGCTGCCTACAGCGTTGGTATCCCATATGGGTGCCGGTTCGAGTCCTGGCTGCTCTACTTCTGATCCAGCTCTCTGCTATGGCCTGGGAGAACAGTGGAAGATGTCCCAAGTGCTTGGGTCCCTGCACCTGTGTGGGAGACTTAGAGGAAGCTCCTGGCTCCTGGCTTTGGATCAGCCCAGATGAGGAGAGTTGGGGAGTGAACCAGCAGATGGAAGACTTTTCTCTCTCTCTGTCTCTGCTTCTCTATAACTCTGCGTTTCAAATAAATAAATAAATTTTTATAAAATAACTATGTCAAAATTAAATTTAAAAAATACCAGGTAGTCATACTGTTTTGTTTTTTTTTTTCCTCTCTCTACCTCTCCCTCTCATACACACAAACACTCACACATTTTGAGTGTTGTCCTGTGGATCAGAAAATGCCTTTGCTCTTTGCTGCTCTAAGGAGCAGAACTAGTAGAAACAGCTGGAGATCACAGGGAGACAGATTTTTCAAAATCTAAGAAAGATGGGCAGGCATTTGAGCAGTGGTTGGGAAGCCCACCTCTTAGAGTGGAGCCTCTGGGGCCAAGGCCTGGCTCTGCTTGCAGTCCAGCTTCCTGCCAATGCACACCCTCAGGTTCCTGCCCTCCACATGGGAGACCTGGGTTGAGTGCTAGGCTCCAGGCTTGGCCTTGCCCAACCCCTGCTGTTGTGGGCATCTGGGGAGGGAACAAGTGGATGGAGGATTTTCTATTTTTTTTTATTTTTATTTTTATTTTTATTTTTATTTTTATTTTTTTGACAGGCAGAGTGGACAGTGAGAGAGAGAGACAGAGAGAAAGGTCTTCCTTTGCCGTTGGTTCACCCTCCAATGGCCGCCGCGGCCAGCGTGCTGCGGCCGGTGCACCGCGCTGATCCGGTGGCAGGAGCCAGGAGCCAGGTGCTTCCTCCTGGTCTCCCATGGGGTGCAGGGCCCAAGCACCTGGGCCATCCTCCACTGCACTCCCGGGCCACAGCAGAGAGCTGGCCTGGAAGAGGGGCAACCGGGACAGAATCCGGCGCCCCAACCGGGACTAGAACCCGGTGTGCCGGCGCCGCAAGGCGGAGGATTAGCCTAGTGAGCCACGGCGCCGGCTGAGGATTTTCAAGTCTCTATGTCTCTCTCCCTTTCAAGTATAAATAAATACATACATTTTTTAAGTTAATTTAAGAAAGAACTTTAGGGGTCGGCACTGTGGCGCAGTGGGTTAAAGCCCTGGCCTGCAGTGCCACCATCCCACATGGGTGCCAGTTCAGACCCGGCTGCTCCACTTCCAATCCAGCTCTCTGCTATGGCTTTGGGAAAGCAGTAGAAGATGACCCAAGTCCTTGGGCCCCTGCACCCACGTGGGAGACCTGGAAGAAGCTCCTGGCTCCTGGCTTTGGATTGGCGCAGCTCCAGGCATTGCAGCCATCTGGGGAGTGAACCAGCCGATGGAAGACCTCTCTCTGTCTCTACCTCTGTAACTTTGTCTTTCAAATAAATAAATAAGAACTTTTTTTTTTTTTTTATTTGACAGGTAGAATTACAGACAGTGAGAGAGAGACAGAGAGAAAGGTCTTTCCTCCATTGGTTCACTCCCCAAATGGCCGCCACGGCCAGTGCTGCGCCGATCCGAAGCCAGGAGCCAGGCGCTTCCTCCTGGTCTCCCATGCAGGTGCAGGGGCCCAAACATCTGGGCCATCCTCCACTGCCTTCCCGGGCCACAGCAGAGAGCCGAACTGAAAGAGGAGCAACTGCGACCAGAACCCGGCGCCCATATGGGATGCTGGCGCCACAGGCGGAGGATTAACCAAGTGAGCCACGGCGTCGGCCCCAATAAAAAAGAACTTTTAGAAAGCTTTTTAAGGGGCTGGCACTATGGCACAGTGGGTTAACATCCTGGCCTGAAGCGCTGGCATTCCATATGGGTGCTGGTTCAAGTCCCGGCTGCTACACTTCCGATCCAGCTCTCTGCTATGGCCTGGGAAAGCAGTAGAAGATGGCCCAAGTCCTTGGGCCCCTGCACCCACGTGGGAGACCCTGAAGAAGCTCCTGGCTTCGGATCGGCGCAGTTCCGGCCATTGCGGCCAACTGGGGAGTGAACCATCAGATGGAAGACCTCTCTCTTTCTGTGTAACTCACACTTTCAAATAAATAAATAAATCTTTTAAAAAATGTTAAGAGGGCAAATACACGGTCCGTGTCCCTTGTCACTTGGTGGGTGATGCTGGATTGGGTAGCACGTCCTGAGGGGAGTCAGGTCCCAGGTGGAAGGATAAGTTAAGCATCCTCTCAGATGCTTTGTAACCCCTAACACTTTTGACTTAGACTGCAACTTGGTTCTCCAGAGAAAGGTTTAGGCCAACAAAATGATCTGTGAGAGATGGATACAGTAGGTGATTGGAAAGGAAAGGCAAAAATCTCGAACCCGTTGAGGCCGGTGATAAGAAAGTCCAGGTTGCCCAGGATCTTGGTGCAGTTCACAAATCCATCGATGTTGCTCGAGTCCACAGTCTGGAAGCGACTCCCAGCGCCCGTCCCCTCGCAGGCTGCAAACACAAATGAGGCTCAGCCTGGGGTGGGGGTAGGGGTAAGATGGCACGGACCATCTCTTCCCATCTGCTACTCACCTTTGGGGCACAGCCCCCCACAAGGCTCGCATATCTTCAGCCCATTTTTGTCCACTTCCATCTTGTCAGGAGGACAGGCCCTGACGCAGGAAGTTTGATCCACCACAAAGTTATCTAGGAAAGAGAAGGGCAGGCACCATTAGAGCTGCAGGGGCACCCTGTCAACTTTCAGCCGAGCCCCTGCCCTGGGCCCTCACTCCCGCCTGCTCTGCACTGGACGTGCCCCCATCGATCCCCTTAGGTTCTCTAAGCACCATCCCACAGATTACAAAGTCCCGTTGCAGGGCCACCATTGTGCCGTAGCAGGTTAAGCTGCCGCCTGGGACATCAGCATCCCATATGGAGCATAGGTTCAAGTTCTGGCTGCTCCACTTCCAATCTTGCTCCCTGCTAATGTAGTCTGGGAAAGCGAAAGAACATGGCCCAAGTACTTGGCCCCTGGCACCCACATATACCCGGAAAGAGTTCCTGGCTACTGGCTTTGGCCTGGCCCAGCCCTAAGCCATTGCAGTCACTTGGGGAGTGAACTAGCAGGTAGAGGATCTCTCTCTCTCTCTGTCCCTCTTCCCCTCCCTCTCTCTCTTCCTCTCTGTAACTCTGACTTTCAAATAAGTAAATCTTTAAAAAAGGGGAGGGGAAGTCCTTTGCATTTCTTACCACCTAGCTGGCAGCCACAGGGGACAGGACATGGGGGTCACTCACTGGGGATGATCAGATGACCACAGCCCTTTGCCTTCTGGCTTCCCTGTTAATCACCCAACTTCACCCGTCTGCCTCCCCAAATCAAGTCTAAAACCCTGGACCCACTATTAGTTCCTTCCCTTCAGGCACTTACGAGGACAGCTGACCACACAAACCCCTCCGTACTGGTACTTGGTATGGGGGTTGGGTTCTAGCTGGAAAGTCAGCTTGTTGTAGACGAGAGGTTGTGGACACCGGGGTACGCAGGCTCCGCTGTCATTGAAGTGTCGGCAGGCCTGGGAACAGGGGAGACTCATAAAACCCCAGTTATCCAGGTACCCCGACCCCTCCCCACACCCCCACCACCACTGCAGAACCCAGGGAAGCAGGAAGTGTACGTACGAAGCAGTCGGTGTCCTGAGGGCCTGAGCAGCCCCCGGCGCACTCATCATGGCAGCACTGGTTGGGGTCGGGCCCAAAGCAGTGGCCGTTACACTGAGGGGCACAGATGGTCTTGGTCACTGTGGAAGGAGAGAAAGCACTGAATTCTACGGCGTTGCCCATCCCCAGCCTCAGGGCTGACACGGGCTTGGGTAGGCAGGGGCATGAAAGCCTGTGGGTTTGAGGGTTTTCGAGGGAAGTTCAAACCCACGTGTCTGGCAGTCTTCTGGTCCAGGACCCCAGCATCTCCCCTTGCAGACCTCGTGACACGGGGGACCTGATTGGGAAAGAAGGCGACAGAAGAGGCCATCAGGGCTCAGAAACGCTTGCTTGAATCAACAGCCTATGATGTCAGCACACAGGCACCTCGGCCCGGGAAACAAAGAGGCAGGGCAGTGTCCCCTCCCTGCCCTTGGAGAGCAGGGCTGGGCTCCAGTGAACCTGTCAACAAGGGGTGGAGCCACGCCTCCACACCACCCACTGGGCAGCTGAAGGGGAGGGGCTGGGGCCAATGCCAACCTCAGCCCCAGTCCCAACCCAGGAACCTGGTTCCTCCTTGGCAAACTAAATACATGCGTGTGAATGAACAGGGAGCAGCAGATCGTGGTCAGGGGAGGTAGGGCGTGTGCAGGAAAGGAGTCCAGAAACTTGGTCCCTCTGCTTTGTACACGGAGAGCTCTGGGCCCCTTTTCCTCAGCTGCTTAGGTTGGGTTCCAGGGACTGGACCCAGTCCCTCCTGTGTGGCCCTTGGCTCTGGAGCCCCAGGAGTTTACTCAGCAGGGAGGCCAGGAGGCAGGGAAGGGAGTCTCTCTGGTTTGTCTGGGGGTGGGGGGCTCAACCCCGGCCACTCACAGCTCCGGCCATTGTCCTTCACCACTATCTCAGCTCCTGGGTCCCTCACGATGTCCCTCCAGTCGATCGTGTCCATGTGACAAAGCTTGTCATTCTTCTCGATATAAACGCCCCCGGACAGAATCTCTGAGGGAGGGAAGAGAAGTGACAGGGTTAGGGGCTACTTGCTGTGGCATCCTCTCCTCTCCACCACCATCCCCCGGCTCCCATCCAAAAGGCCATTCTGGAGCAGGCGGGGGGCAGGGGGCACCGGGCAGACAGATATGTCCAGCGAAATCTCAGCGACGGAAGCGGCTCGCCTCAGAAAAGGAGGAGTCAGGCGGAAAAGCAACTCCTGCCTCCTCAGACACCTGTCCAGATCCGGTTTAGCAAGTGGGGGAAGGGAAAGGAAAGGAGGCAAGAGAACATCTCTGACTCAACACCCCCTCTCCCGAGGCCTACGTGTTTGTGTGTGTGTGTGTGTGTGTGTGTGTTTTCCAACTGACTGGGACTAGGTGATATTTAACCCTATAGACGTGAGAGGAAGCAAAGATTCCTGGGGAAGGAGGGAACAGTGCAGCTCCATCTCCAGCCCACCATGCTGTGAGGCCCTCCCCCAGGGGGTCTTGAGACCACAGAGGCCAAGGTTGCGGGGTGCCCCAGAGGGGCACCTAAAGTGGGAAGGCAGGGGTCCTCCTCCAGGAGGTCCTTGTCAGCAGGCTGGCTGTGGGGCAAGGCCAGAGGACTCCTCAAGAACTGACCGGTGAGCTGAGTGAAGCGGAGCTGGCGCAGCGCGTGGCTGGAGTTGGTATTGTAGTTCAACATGACAAAGATGGCGAACTTCCCATCGTACACCTGAGTCCCGCGCACCACTCGGAGGTTGGGCAAGGGTAGCGTAGAGAACTCGTTCATGGCCACGAGGACGTAGCCCGTCACTTCTCGGATCCACTGTGATGGAGAGCGCGTCAATGAGAGGGATGGCAGAACCAAAAAATCCCAATCCCAGGGCTGACCTTGGGGCACAGGGGGTTTAGTGGCTGCCTCTGATGCCAGCATTCCATATAGGAATGCTGGTTCTAATCCCAGCTTCTCTGCTAAGGCACCTAGAAAGACAGCGGAGGATGACCCAAGTACTTAGACCCCTGCTACTCATGTGGGAGACCGGATGGAGTTCCGGGCACCTGACTTCAGCCTGCTCCAGACCCGACTCTCGTGGCCATTTGGGGAGTGAACCAGTGGATGGCAGGTACTTCTCTTCCTGTTTCTCCTCTCTACCCATCACTGTCTTCCATTTCTTTTTTTTTTAAGTATTTATTCATTTGAACATCAGAGTTACAGAGAGTGAGGAGAAAGATCGTGCATCCTCTGGCTCACTCCCCAAATGGCTGCAATGGCCAGGGTTGGGCTACATCAAAGCCAGGAGCCAAAAGCTTCTCCCAGGTCTCCCACATGGGTGCAGGGGCCCAAGCACTTGGGCCATCCTCTACTGCTTTTCCCAGGTGTATTAGCAGGGGGCTAGATTGGAAGTGGAGCAGCTGGGACTTGAACTGGCACCCATATGGGATGCCAGCTCTGCAGAAGTTCGCTTAACCTGCTAAGCCACAGCGCCAGCCCCAACTGTCTTTCAAATAAATAAATCTTTATACAAAAAATAATAATCTTTACCTCTTCTCCCATTTAAAGACACTGAGGAATCATTAACTCTTAATTTTTTCTAAGGACTGTGTCACATGAGTGTGTCACTGCTGTGCGTGAAGACAGCAGAAGTGACTGAGAAACTCTACATCTTACCCTTTTCTTCTCAGAGTCCCTCATGCCAGGAACATCCTGGCTGAGTCTCTTCCCCATCTCCCCGGGGGGCCTCCTGGTCCTCCTTACCTTGCACCCCCTGTGCCCACCACCTGCCCTGCCCCCTTCTCATGGGTGGCCCCTGTGATGTCCCTGGCATCAACGCCCAGGCCCTAGATCCCAGGTTCCAGTCACTGTCCACATAAACGCACAGGTTTTAAATCTTCAGAACTACTGTGTCTTGGGCATACTGAACTCCAGCAGGGGGTGGTCCTGCAGAAGCAAAGGAGGCGGGGGGGGGGGGGGGGGGGGCAGAAGCAGGCACTCACCTGCAGGAAGGAGAGATCAGCATTGTGTCCGGTGAGCACAATCTCCAGGTTCCCCATCACCACCTCACATTTCTCATAGAGCTTGTGCAGTGTCTGGTATTGGTTCTCGGCATCGCCAGTCACGCTCAGCCCGTTCAGAGTCCCAGGACACACTGTCGGCAGCGGAGGTGGGAGTGGCGCCAGGCTGGACCCAAGTTCAGCCCGGAGGCCGCCCCCTGGGGTGCCCTGCTCTTCCCCCCAACTTTCAACAGCACTGGAGGGCAGCTGACTTCTACCCTCCCAGCTGGGGGTAGACAGGGAGGCCTGGGGGTGCCCCAGATGCCCCTGCCACTCTGAAGGGGAATGTGGGAAGATCTCCTTTTGTGACCAGGCACCTCTCAGGTATGACCTTAGGGTACTAAGGGGTTAACAGAGCGGGAAGACACGGGGGATTTTTTTTTTCCCTTCTCAGAAAGGAGAAGTTAGGAAAGGACCACAACTTTGATTATCCTCTCCCCCCACCCCCAACTAGGGCCCTCACTCCTCTACCCCCATCCTGCCTCTGGAATAAATATCTCTTTGGGGTGAGCACACAGCCCCTATTGTGTCTGCAGAGGGTGGGATGGGGGCAGAGGGTGGGGGCAGCGCCCAGGGCCACAGTCCAGCCCACAATGAGGCAATTCTCTACAGGAGGAGGGGGCTGCCCCACCCTGTCCCCAGACACCCTGTCCTCGGCAGACAAGTGACCTCACTAGAGTGGGGAGCACTGGTGGTGGCAGTGGGGGTCAATGGGAGCTTTGTCTTTAAGGCTGGAAGATAAGGAGTTGGTGGCCCTCCTCCTCCTCTCTCTGAACCCTGGCTTCTCTTCCCAGTCCTCACACTCCAGCTCCCTCAGCACCCCTTGCCAGCCCAAGAGTATTTTCATCAAATACAGAGAAGCCTGGAGGGAAACAGTAACACGGAGGACAATGGCTGTGGAAACCTTGGGCCCTGAAGCCCTACCTGTCTCTCTCCTCTGGCTCAGTGTGAGTCTGGGGGGGCCGGGGCATGGGGAGTAGGGGGGTACCTGCCACCTGTTCCACCCACCCTTCCCTGAGGCAGTGGCAGCTCAGTAGGAGGCAGGAGCGGCCACAAGGCTAGTGTACTGGGGAGGGCCCAACCCCTGCTGAGTCCACCCTGGTCTGGTCTCTTAGAGGGCTCTGCTTCTCCCAGCACTCCCCAGAAAGGGAAAGGGTGGTCTAGTCCCAGGAAACAGGGAGGCAAACAGCTCCCAAAAGAGCTTGGAAACTCCAGGGTCCATAGGCTGAAATGGAAGAACCTAGGAAGCTTTGGGATTTCTGGAACAGCCCTACGCCAACCCCCTTTCTGGCAAGATACACCTCCCTTCCAAGTAAAGGCGCCAATTCTTCTCCCCAGATAAGGGAGGGGCCAAGATTTCTGCACAGGGAAGTGGTGTGTGTACATACACGTACACGTGCCACACGCACACACGCGCGCACACACACACACACACAGCTCCCTCCTCGCCCAGAAATCTGTCCTTGAACTCCTTATCAGGAAGCATTTCAGTGGCCTCATCTATCCCACCTGCCCCGGAGTGCTTGTGTGGACTTTCTGTCTGCTTGGAAGCCTGCAGGAGAAGCCTCAGTTCCCTGCCACCCTGAGGGTAAAGTCCGCTTTATACAAATAGGGGGCAAAGGGCTTAGGCAGGAAAGGAGCATAAACATCACCTCTGGGAGTAACCGGGCCACTGGGGGAGCAGGGCAGGGGGAAGGGAATCATAAAAATCTCTGCTGTTCTCAGAGACCAGTGGCCTAGGGAGCAGCAGTGTGACAAGCCTTCCTTTGGTAGTGAGCATGGGAGGGGGGGACAGAGCAAGAATCTCCAGCCCCTCCTCAACCAGAGGCCTCCCCTCCAACATCCCCCACCCCCATCAGAGCCTGGACAAAGGGGCTATAGAAGGCCTGAGACAGGGCCGGATGCCCAGAGGCTGCAGGATCCAGATAAAGGGTAAAGAGACCCAGCCATGCCTGCCTTCAGCCTCTTCCAGGAGGGGCCGTCAGAATCTGAGACTCTTGGGTTCCTGGGGTCTGGATGGGACTGGGGCACAGTCGCTCCACTGGTCCCTCCCACTCCACTCCCAGACCACCCCCTCCACCAGCTGGGAGTGTTCACATCTCAAGATCTCAGGATCTAAATTTAGGCTCAGCAACTGTGGGGGAAGCACAGGTGGTTTCTCCCACTCCCACCCTGGGGAAGGGGCCCTGGCCCTGCCAAATCCCAAGCTGGGATGGGGGGGGCAGGGAAGGATGACAACCAACTCGGTCCAGAGCCCCAGGGCCAGGGCTGGACAATAACAGAACCGGTGAATGGACAGAAGTTGGGCCTAGGAAAGGCTGCACAGGTGTAGGAGAGCCTCTTGGTCCTCCGGTTGGAGAGAGAAAAGACAGACAGAAAGGCTGAACCTGCTTGTCCCTGCAGCTCCTGGCCCAGGGCTCTGTGTATACTAGATGCTCAATAAATTAGAGTTGCATTGACCTGGCTCTTGAGAAAGAGCAGCTGGCCAAGCTGGGGACCAACCAGCTTTGTTTTGAGGGCAGACGGGTGCCGGCCTTCGTGGAGCCTCTTGCCCTGAGGTCACCTGGACTTGGCCCTCTGGTTAATCTCAGTTGTCCCCAGGGCTGGCACACTCACGGAAGAGGACGTGCCTCTCCTGTTTTTCCGACACCAGAGAACAACAACCCCCTCCAACCCTTGCGTAGCTCCGCCCTGTCGGCAAAACAACGAAACTAGGGGTGGGGGTTGCTGAAACCCGGGGCGCGGTGGGGGCCGGGGGCTGGGGAGCACCTGAGCCTCTCCTGCCGGGATCCCCACCTCCAGCCATGTCCACACGCCTGCAGAGCGGAGGTCCCAGCCCCGCTCCCAGCAGCGCCCCTCAGAAGTGTGAACTACTGTTTGGGCATCAATCTTCTCCAGCAAAGATCAATTAGGGGGTCGCGACGCCCTGGGGAATGGGGCCAGGGCTCCAGGAATGCCGTTCCCGCCGGGATCACGCCGAGAACCCGAGCCCGGCGGGCCCTCTTTCCCCCGGGGATCCCAGCAGATCCCAGAGTCAGCACCCCGGCCCCGCACCGCCAGAGACCCTGCCCGCGCCTCAGGGACCACGCACTCCCTCGGTTGGGGTTCCCAGGACCCGAGCCGGCTGGCGCTGCGGCGCCGCTTACCTGCCTGCGAGTTGCCCACCTCGGAGCCCCGGGCCAGGCTGAGCAGGACACCCAGCACCTGCAGAGCCCGGCTTCCCCGCATGACTCCAGCGGAGGGTGAAGGGAGCCCAGCCGAGTCCGGCCCGGGGGCCCCTGCACTAGGACATGGAAGCGAGAACCACCTGAGCCGCCGGCGAGCGGGCGGCGGCGGCGGCGGCGGTTGCAGACTGAGGCGGGCGCTGGAGCCCGAGTCCTGGGCGGGATGGCAGGGGAGGGGAGCACGGGAGCCGGGTGAGTCACGGCCGCGCCCCCTCCCGCGCGGGGCTGCGGCCGGGGTTGCGGGAGGCTGGCGCCGCGCGCCCCGAGGCGCCTCACGCCCCACCGCCCCGCGGAGCAGGTCGAGGCTGGGGGTCCGGCCCGAACTTCTCCTCAGGAGCCGGGCTCAGTGGAGGCCAAGATTCGAAAGACCCTCGAATAAGGGGAAAGGTAATGAATGTGGGTGGGGAAACCGCTCCAAAGCCCGGCCCCCTGAAAGCTGGCCTCGCCCATTATCCAAATCACTCAACTCCCCTAGCCGGTTGGGTCACTTGAGGGATCTTGCTGTCTGAGTGTGGCTATTTCTCCCTGTGTTTTTGAGTAGGAGGGTGCTTTTTTTTTTCTTGTTTGTTTGTTTTGTGTTGGTCTCCTATTCAAGCCACCTCAGTTTCCCCGGGACTCAAAAACCCCGTATAACTCATCCATTCTGCCCGGGAACCCGAGCCCCAGAGCCCGCGTGAAATCGCACTGTCTCCGGCCGCTTCCTCCTCCAGCCCCGGCGCCGGCCGGGCCTCTCCCGGGGATTTGGCTGGGGGGCGGGGGTGATATCCAGCCTGGGAACAGACCCCGGAGCCCGCCTCTCCACTGCTGCCCCGGGAGGGGCTCCCGCACCTGTCGCAGTCCCCTCTGCTGCCCCCCACGGCCGCCTGGGAGAACAGCTGCCGCGGCTTCCACGGCGGAGTCTGGGGCCGCGCCGTCCAGGCGGCCGCCCGGGCACACGGTGGCCACCACAAGCGCCTTCTGAGACCCGGCCCACGCTGGGTCGCAGGAGGATAGCAGTGGACACTGGTGACGGCGTCCATGAGTGGCATGGGTTCCTGGGACCCCCACATCAGCTCAGCGACCCCTCCGAGTTCCGGGACGGGTCCGACCAGCGCCCCCTGCTGCCCAAGTCGGGCAGCGGCGATGCATTTCAGATCCCTCGAGTTGGCATTTGGATGCCACCCAGCGCCTGTTTTCTCCAGAACTTCAAGCCTTGATGAAGAAAAGTGTTGCCTCCCACCCTAAACGATGAAGATTCTTCAACCCTGCTCGGCACCGACAGCGGCTTAGAGGGCTCCTCCCTGGCCCGGGAGCACTGGTGGGACAGTCACAGCAACAGCCAAGCCATTGACATACACATCCCTATCCCCTTTCACTCGCAAAGCATTTCCTCAAACTCAGAATGTGTCACTTAACATAAAAATGCCGTGAGCTCGGTGACGTCCCTGTTTTAGAAAACTGGGAACTTGCAGCAGTGATCCCGAGGAGGGGCTCAAGTTGTTGTTTTATTTTCATTGTATCTGAAAGGCAGGGAGGAAGAAAGGGAGAGAGAGAGAGAGAAAAAGATCTTGTAGCCACTGGTTCACCCCCCAAATGCTCACATCAGCCAGGGCTAGGCCAGGCAGAAGCCCGGAAGCCCATCAGGGCCTCCCACTTGGGTGGCAGGGACCCAAGTACTTGAGCCACGTCTGCTGCTTCTCTTGGTGTACACTAGCAGGAGTCTGGCGTGGGATGTGGGTGTGCCAATCCGGGGCTGGGCTGCTAAGCCAAGTGCTTGCCTCTTACCTAGGGTTTCTTAAGTCCTCCTGAGACTGTAGCTTCAACTGCTCAGAAGTAAAACTCCCATCAGATAACAGAATTAATACCACTTAAAGCTTTCCACTCCCACCTGCTTTCCCCCAGGTTAAAGGGCTTTCATCGTATTACCTTTTAGCTTTACTCTTGGCTGTTCAGGGCCCTAATTCTGGAGGAGAAAACCTTCCTTTTTTTGTTGTTGTTTATAAACAGTTGTAACGTATAACATCCTTTGGATTTAATGAGAAAAGGGTAGGGGTTCTAAAGTACCTTGTTGTGTTTAATCTTTTTTTTTTTTTTTTTTTTTTTTTTTTTAGCAAAGTTTATTGAAAGCAAGAAGCCACCTGCAGCAGCAGTCAGGACAGATTTCAAGGGAGGAGCTGCCCCTGCTCAGCCTTTAAGTATCATTGAATGGGAGCCAGTGTTGTGGATTTAGCCCATGGGACAGCCAGTTAAGTCCTGACTGTTCTGCTTCCAATCCAGCTACCTGATAATGTGCCTGGGAAAGGAGTGGAAGATGGCCCAAGTCCCTGGGCCCCTGCACCCTCATGGGAGACCCAGAAGAAGCTCCTGGCTCCTAGCTTCCATCTGGCCTACCCTAGCCATTGTGGCCATTTGGGGAGTAAGCAGATGGAAGATCTCTCCCTCTCTCTCTGCCTTTCAAAGGAAATAAAAAAATTTTTTTTTAGATTTGTTTATTTATTTGAGAGGCAGAGAGAGAGAGAGAAAGTCTTCCATCTGCTGGTTCACTCCCCAAATAGCCGCAAGGGTTAGAGCTAGGCCAATCCAAAGCCAGGAGCCAGGATCTCCATGTTATGTGCAGGATTTTCCACGTGGCTGCTAGAGCCCAAGCACTTGGGCCATCCTCTGCTTTCCCAGGCCTTAGCAGGGAGCTGGATCGGAAGTGGAGCAGCCAGACCTCAAACCAGTGCCCATATTGGATGCTGACACTGCATGCGGCAGCTTTACCTGCTATGCCACAGCGCCGGCCCAAGAAATAAAATCTTAAAAAAAATAAAAAAGCATTGAATGAAGAACGTATGCTAGCTGTATCTCTTCCTATTGTCTCCAACTCCCCTCCACCTCCACTAGATCCCAAGATGTGCTCAGCTGTTTCTGGTCCTCAGCCTTTGGAGAAACAGCATGCTGAGTATCTGCAGTACAGACAGTAGATAAAGGTGGCTGCTCTGCTTGAACAAGGAAAAGGGGAGCTTTATTTAGGAACACTGTCTGCAGTTTTCCAGTATCCCTTCCTTTCTTAACTCTTTTTAAAAAACAGTTCTTGAAATTTATCTATTTTGAGTTCAGCACTGTGGCATAGCAGGTAAAGCTGCCTCATATGGGCACCGCATATGGACACTGGTTCGAGTCCCAGCTACTCCACTTCTGATCCAGCTCCCTGGTAATGTTCCTGGGAAAGCAGTAGAAGATGGCCCAAGCCCTTGGGCCCCTGCACCCATGTGGGAGACCCAGAGGAAGCTCCAGGCTCCTGGCTTCAGATCAGCCCAGCTCCTGCCTTTGTGGCCATTTGGGGAGTGAACCAGCAGATTGAGGATCGATTTCTCTCTCTCTGCCTCTGCCTCTACTTTTCTGTAACTCTGACTTTCAAATAAATAAGTAAATCTTTAAAAAGGGGGTGGGGTAGGAGGGGACAGTGCTATGGTGTAGCAGGTAAAACCACTGCCACCTGTGACTCTGGTATCCTGTATGGGCGCCTGTTCTAGACCTGGCTGCTCTACTTCCAATCCAGCTCTCTGCTGATGGCCTGGGAAAACAACAAAGGATGCTCCAAGTGCTTGGGCCCCTGCACCCATGTGGGAAACTCGAGTGAAGCTCCTGGCTCCTGGCTTTGGCCTGGCCCCAAACCAGTGCCCACCTGGACGCCAGCACTGCCAGTGCATGCGGCAGCTCCAGCCACCATGCTGCAGCACCAGCCTCAAAGGGAAGCTGAAAAAGGGTTGACACCCACCTACCCTCTGGATGGTAAGTATCTTACCATCTTGACTTAATATTTCCTGCTCAACCAGTCCTGATTGCACGTTGTTATCCACACAGCAGATCAATATGGTGATGCTCTGAGAGATGTCTAGCTGGTTGGATTTCTTCAGGTTACTTTGTGACAAAGGGCAGGAGGGTTAACATAGCCCTGGAGCAAGACTGTGTGGTGTTTTCCAAGTCACCATGAACTGTTTCTGCTCTCTGGAGGAGAGAGGAAAACCACACTCCTAGGTTCTGTGGCTGGGCTACAAAGTAAATTGGCATAAGGCAGATTAACAGGAGAAAGCTCATTTTTAGCTACACATTTACAACACAGGGATCCCACACAATGGGAGAATGCAGCAAGGGTCAGGTGACTGAAGCTTCCATACCATCCTAAGGTACAGGAAGGAGTAGGCACTTGGAGTTTTGGGGGGCAGGGGTGAGCACACAAGTTAGCGAGGATGAGGGGAGGAACCGCATGGTGACTAAAGGCTGTCTTCTCTCTCAGATTGAATCTATCAGACCATAGAAGTATTTCAGGGCAGCCCTCTTCCCTGATACAGAGACGTAACAGTGTAGAGTTCCCTTAGAGGGTAATGTTCCTTTACAACAGCATCATTTTCCAGAGTCACTCCTGTTTCCAGGACAAACTCTGCCAAAGACCTGTATTTTGGGGAGGCACATTCTGGCCTCCTACATTTGTGTTTTTGTGGTGATATGTCCAGAGGTCCAACTTCTCCTTTCTGACAGGGATGGAAAAGATTGCATATCTTACATTTGAGACCTTGTCAGCTTAAGCGACATTTGAGTTTCCAGTTGATAACTCTCATCCTCTGGGATCTGTCAGGTATTAGCAGGGACTAGACTAGTGAATTAAACGAAGATGTGATGAGGACTGCTATCCGTGGGTGCTTTATGTCTGCGCTGTGCAATGGTGGTAGCCACTAGCCACAAGGATGTGTTTCAGAAAGTAGAAAAGGAGAATAAATAATCCCCAAAGAAAATAGAAGAAAGTAAATAGTAAAGATAACAGCAGAAACTAATGAAATATAAAATAAATATACAATTCTGAAAATCAGTAAACCTAAGGTTTTGGGGCTGGCACTGTGGCATAATGGGTAAAGCCGCTGCCTGCAGCACAGACGTTCCATATGGGTAACTGGTTCGAGTCCCAGCTGTTCTACTTCCAATCCAGCTCCTTGTGAATATGCCTGGGAGAGCAGCAGAGGATGGCTCAAGTTCTTGGGCCCCTGCACCCACGTGGGAGACCAGAAGAAGCTCCTGGATCCTGGCTTTGGACAAGCTCCAGCCATTGTGGCCATATGGGGAGTGAACCAGCAGGTGGAAGACCTCTCTCTGTCTCTGTCTGTCTCTAACTGTACCTTTCAAATAAATAAATAAATCTTAAAAAAACACACACACACAAGATTTTCCACTATCAGGAATCAAAATGAGACTTATTTTAGATAACAA